GGTGGGTGGGTGGGAAGGGTCCTGTGGTGCCACTGCTACTGGTTCTTGTGACATCTCGCTGCAGGTGGCATGAGGGATGCTGTGCCAGAGGCGCACACAGGTGGTGCTGGCCCTGTGCCTGTTGCTGGTCCTGTGGCAATGTTTCCGAGCCTCCATGGATGGCCTCAGCCCCTTTCCTTGGGCTCCCTCCCTCCTCAATGCCCCCGCTGCCCACTGCACTGCTGGTGCCAACAGCTCCACATGGTTCAATGCCCGCTACAACATGGCCATGGGGCCTCTGCTGACAGGCGCAGCCCACGAGCTCTCCTCTGACGTGGTTCAGTGGTGGCTGGTGAGTGGGGGAACGGGTGGGAGCTCGGGGCTCTTCTCGGGCTCCCCGAATCTGTTTGTGGTGGGGCAGGGCCAAGGTCAAGTCAGACAGATGCGATGGGGGATGAAGGGGGTGCAGGGACCCCAGCTCACCACCCCTGCACCTCTCTGGGCTGTCCTGCACCCTTTTCCTAAGATCCCATGATGTTTTTCTGTGCCTTTCCCAGGGCTCTGCTGGGAGGAGTGGGGATCTGTCCCCCTTTAGGGGTACTGGGGGTGGGTGGGTTGATGCTGCCTGTTGCTGCCCTTGCTCCCCCAGACCCTGCAGGGTTCCCCAAGTGGCGTCCAGCTCCAGGCCATAATTTGGCACCTCTTCACTGTACTCCCGGCCCCGACTGGCAGCATGTGGGACACATCTCACTGCAGGACTTGTGCTGTGGTGGGGAACTCGGGGCAGCTGAAGGGGTCTGGCCACGGGCTGCGGATTGATGCCCATGACTGGGTGCTGAGGTGGGTGATTCAAAGGGGCTTGGCCCCTCCCTGTCTCCCCGGGACCCTTGCATGCCCCAGCTGCCAGCCACCCTGTGAAATCTGCCAACACAAGCCCTGTGATGGCGGGGGGGTGGTGGGGTGGGGCTGCTGTTCCTGCTCCCTGGAGCCCCCCACCCTGGGGCACACACTGGCCCTGTGTTGCCCATGTCCCCTCTTTGCTGCTGGCCAGGGTGACCTGATGTCCCTGCCCAGTGGGACCAGCAGCCTGGGACCGGCATGGCATGCACCTTCATTTTGGGACATGCTTTCTTCACTGTCCCCTAGGATGAACAGAGCAAAGATCACTGGCTTTGAGCTCGATGTTGGCATGAGAACAACCCATCACTTCATGTACCCAGAGAGCGCAGTGAATCTCAGGCCTGGTGTCCACCTCGTCCTTGTCCCCTTCAAGCCACTGGACCTGCAGTGGGTGGCCAGCGCCTTCTCCACTGGAGAGCTCACGCAGTGCGTTGGCTTCAGGGGATGGCATCTCTTGTGCTGGAGACCCTGGGGATGGCACAGGGTGGTCCTGGGGACCCTTGTGCCTCACTGGGCCCCTGGCACCATGGTCGTGGTGGGATGAAGGGCCTCTGGGCGAGGGTCCTGGCATCCCTCTGCACCACAGTTCGGGGCACTGACCCATCCCTGCAGAGCTTGGGCATCCTGCAGTCCCATAACCCCCATGGGTGGGATGGTAGCTGTTCCCACTGTGGGGCCATGGGCTTGATGTGTGCCTTCCCAGAGGAAGGCCAGGGAATGCTGCTGGGCCAGCCCAAGGGGCTGGGGGTGCCATGAGGCCAGGTGCTGGTGGACACAGTCACCCTCTGCAAACCAGCTGCCTCCAAAGGAGAGGCCATGGCAGCATCAGTGGCCCATGCTCACTGCTGTCCTCTGGCTTTTGCAGCACTTACGTGAAAGTGAAACAGTTCATCAAAGCTGACAGAAACAAGGTAAGGGCTCAGCGGGCTCCAGCTCCTCCTGGGTGTATAGGGCTTCTCTTGGCAGAGGCCAGGCTTGTTTTTCAGTGGGATGTGGGCAGAGCCGGCAAGCAGGAGGGCCAATGGCTGCACTGGTGGCAGGAGCTGGCTGTCCCATTTGCCGCATGGTGAGCAGCTGATGGCTTCTCCACTACCCACTCAGGTGCTGATCCTGAGCCCAGCTTTCCTCAAGTACATCCACGACAACTGGACGCAGCGCCATGGGCGGTATCCCTCGACTGGTTTCACAGCCCTGCTTTTCGCCTTGCACACCTGCCAGCAGGTGAGTGCAGCCAGCCGGACCAGGCACTGCTGCCATACCACCACTGCACTGCTTGTCTGCATGCTCTCAAGCTGACCGAGCGCCCATGCAGTGATGGCTCTTGCTGGCATGTGCACAGGTGTCTGTGTTTGGATTTGGAGCAGACAGTGAAGGGAACTGGCACCACTACTGGGAGAAAAACCGCTGGTCCGGAGCCTTTCGCAGGACGAGGGTCCACGATGCTGATGTCGAATTCAGCCTCATTGAGAGACTGGCAGCCGAAGGCAGGATTTTATTCTACAAATGATGCATTTCCAAGAAACTGAAGCCAGGCCATCAGTGTAGGAACTGGCAGCCCCCTGCACTACTGGCAGCTGCCTTGGCTTTTAAGCTTGCTTCTCCTCACCCCCAGCTTTGCCACGTGCCCAGGCTCACAGACCCTGTGATCCCTGGGGTCTCGGTGCTGCTTGTGCTGGTCCCACCAGCTGGGCACTGTGGGTGCCGGGAGGTGACATGCTCCCATGGCACCAGGGACGTTGCATTTGGCTGGACACAGGGTGGGCATGGCTCTGCCCACGCTGGCTGCAAGAGGAAGGGGAAACAGTGGGGCTGGAGGTGAGCGTGGAGCCCATGAGCTGCTGTGCATGTCCCTGCAGTGGCCACAAAGCTGTTTGTTTGGTGACAGCTGTGGTGGTGATGGCAGCCGCTCAAACATGGCTGTCCACATGACGCACCTGACATTTCCACCCACTGATGGCTTTTGGGGGAGGTTCATAGTTGTTCTTTGGGCAGGGGGAGAGGGGCATCTTCCCTTCCTAAGGAAATAATTTAAAAATTGTATCAAAGAAGAGTAAGAAAGGAAAAAAATGAAGCATGCTAAGTCAGAAGACAACAGAATCAAGTACAGTTGAAATGATCTTAACGTTGAATAAACCTTGAAAACACACATGAATCTGTTATTAACATTTGCTTTACTTTTTGAGCCCTTACTGCTTTGAAAAGACAGAGCAACCTATCTTGGCTCCACCCTGCAGAACAAGATTGCAGATCCTGGAGACTGAGCCCCCCAAAGGTTTTCTCCAGAGCGGTGTTAGTAGGATGTCTTTTCCTACTTTCAATCACAAACATGAACATCCTTGAATCAGACTCAGCTTTCCTGTAGCTATTAGTCACTTGGTCTTTCAGTCTATTAAAATCATCAGATCTCTCCTACTCATAAGCTCCCATTTTATAGCAGAAGCCTGTATTATTAGCTTCATTGATTTTCTATCTCTCCAGGTAGAATCTCCATGTCTGTGTGTGTCTTCTGTTTCTCTTCTCCATTATATCCAGTTTCCCACACCGAGTATAAGTCTTGCACTTACCTGCCCCTTCACCTTCCCTCTATTTTCTCTAGGTGCCTCAGCAGTGCTCTGTACGATGCTCTCCAATGCTTTTCTGAGGCTTACAAGTAATCGGCTTTCTTATCAAAGACAAGCAATCAGTTGGTAATTGTTGAACTGTGGGTTAAACTCTTGCTACATTATTTCCATTCATCTTCCCCCTCCTGATTATTCTTTCAAATTTAGTTACAAAGCTGTGTGCTCTGCTGAGCAATCAAAGCTGTTCAGGTCACTTTTTGTTCCTGATAAAACATATACATACTATGTCCCCTTCCTCACATTGTAGTAGTACTATATGATCCTGACCCGATGGATTTATTAAACATCCTAGTTTCAATTTTTTTTTTTTTTTTTTTTTTTTTTTACAAACCCATTTTTTCAGTATTCTAGCTTGGAGAATAATCAGTCTCCTTACCCACACCTCAAATTGCTTCTCTCCCCTATTGAAAAAACACAGGTTTTTATACTCCCTGGTTTGTAGGTAAGTTCAACTGATTTAAAAAAAAAAAACAAACACAAGCAAAAACAACTTTTAAATGAATTATAAAATAGCTTTCTCTCTGCATTATCTGATCCTGTGCCTGTCACACTGTGCACTGCTGGACCAATTACTTGGACCAAGTTTAGGGTCAATACCAAAGCAAATCCAGAGCTGAGATTTAAGAGTAATGAGTCTGTTTTGCCTCAAAATGAGGCAGAAATCCACAATATTTTATTTTTCCTCATTATTTTCAAATTTCTCCCAATATATCACTTTATTCACATGTGTAGATCATTAAAAAGAAAAAAAACCATCATCATCATGATATCTACATACTTTGCCACAATACAGGTGGCATTATTATTATATTAATTATATTATTATATCTGGTATACGATATATCTGGTATAATATTATTATATTATTAATTTTAATTTCCAATTCAGTACCAGGATTAGTTCAAATAATTATTCTTCCAAATGCTTTATCAAAACACACAGAGGATGGACTTTATTTCAAATATAAACAGAGGGGAAGTGAAAAACACAATCGAATTTAAAAATCGATTAAACCTCCAAACATTTTTTTTTGCTGAAACATCAACTTACATCTTTCATAAGAAGAGCAAATCTGGAGCAACTGCAATGCCCCACAGTACAGTAAACACAACCCAAGTCTCACCATGTTGCCCAGGACAGCTGGATGGGATTCAGCACATTTTCACAGAGGTCTGGCATACAGCATCAGCACACTCAGAAACATTTTTAAGAAAAAATAAAAAAGCTAGATGGTGTTGCTAGAAAGCTTATTTGATGGCAACTTCAATTCATTCCAGGGCTCATGACAATACAGCACATGATTCCTGGAGGCGAACAATGCAGTAT